TTTAATACATGTGCTTCTATAATGGCATCAAAAATCTAACGAAGTCTGTCAAATTTTAGCAAAACAAGTGAATTAAGAATCAATTTCTTTCTTTTGTTACTACGTAAAATATTTAAATAAAATTGATCAGTTTTTTATTGAAACTCTAGACATTCCCCCGCGCATTAATTAAATTGATTCATGCACGTTGTGGGAGTAAGCCGAAATTAATCTCCATATAAGGTTAGAGCAAGTCAACCTATGATACAATATTTCGTGCATTTTACTCTACTAGTACTTTAAACTTAATGTTTCATTCGTACAAAATTTTTCATTATTATTAAAAATAATTGTATTTTGTTAACGTAAAATCATATTAATTCTATGAAATTCTCCTCGACAAACAGTGCTTTATTACAAAATTCATGATATAAATCAAAATTCACATTTATGAATAAAAGTTTTATATTTTCTGCAACCAAAATAAAAATTCGACTCATAACTTACCATTTTTATAAGCTATGTTATGACTTTTCGGTTTTTTTCTTTTCACTTACTGGACTCGAACGAAGTTATTTTACTAACCTCCTGCAAATGGTATTCGAGATGATTCTGCTAGGATACAAGCGTTAAGTATCGTTCACATCTAAACGGAAGTATCTTCATCGGCCAATCAAAATCTGAAATTTAAATCTATTAATGTTTGAAATAATTCAAATTTTAATTTCCGAAATAGAATATAATTACGTAAGTTAGAATATAAACCAATACTTTGATACACATAGATACAATTACTCAAATTGCGCTTTTGAATGTGTAATACTTTCTAATAATGCCAGAGGAATATAATAAAACAACTTTTTAACATTTTGATACATTATTCTTCGCAAAAGTATTCATAATCGTTTAAATAAAATTCGTGTAAAATTATTATTCTTGAGTAATATTATAATGTTTGTACATATTTGACATCTTAATAAACTTTGACAATATTTTAGGAGGGTAAGTTCCTTTTACGATAACTTCGATTAAAATAGATAACATTTATTTAATATTTGTCAAAAGTGCCTTTATCTTGTATTTTCTCGTACAGTAATGTAATAATGTTATCATATCAAATGTATTATCGTTGTAAATTTTTTAAACAAACGACAGATGGCGTTGATTTAAACAAAAAAAAAGATTTTTCTCGTTCATCAAATTGCCGCAGTGTCGGTTAACAGCAGAGGGAGAAGGGATTTGGTTTGGTATAATTCGTGATTTGACTACACGAATAGAAACGTACATTTGCTCCGACGTTTATTTTTAAACGTTGTAACTATTCGCTTTTGCAAGTTTTCGATTGCATGTGCTCTTTCGTATACATGTAACCGTATAACCACCCACTTTAGGCGAACAGCCCGAGCGCCGAAGTTACTTTAGTCGTGCTAGAGCTTTCGAGCGAGGCGCGCAAGTTTCTAAAATTTCTGTCGACAGTTTAATGATATAATTCTGAACAGTGTATACCTGGTGCTGCACGATACTCTTAATCTTAAGTGTCATCCAACGAGATCGTATACTTGCGTACAGTTTGGAACGAGATAATTTTACTGCGAAGGTAAAGAATTCAAAAAAACTTCCGAGAACTTGGATATAATTCCCTATATAATTGCCTTTTAATCTTACGTTATGTACGATCGCAAATGTTCTTGCGCTTATCATCGATGAATTTTAGACAGTTTTTAATTCGTGTTTACATATATCGGCATTGGGGATGGTGAGAAAATCCAGGGTGTGAATTACACGAACTATGTACACAGCCGGTATCTGTACTGTACTCATTTTAAGTGTAAGATGCTGACGTTACATCGTTGCACATGCGTAAAACGACTTCCACCTGATGACGACGGGCCAATGAAAAATCGATATGTTCGAAATTTTAATGCCAAAGCTTTGACTATTCTCTCAGCAGTTAGTAGTGATATCTCGAATCTGATGGGTCCTGAGTAGTAAGTAAATGGTTGCACGTGCTGCCGCTGTATTTATTCTGACAGTTTCTCAGTTGAATTTGCATAATTTTCGTAAATCTGTAAGCGCGCCATTTTTATTGTTTATCACTTTCGTTACTGTTATCGTTTTATCAATTATTTAACAAATGTCAAAGTAATGATTAAAAGTCATCAAATTTGAATAGTATTTGTTATGTTATATTTGAATTGTACTTATCACAGTTGCAATTAAAAATTTTTAAGTTGTCATTTTCATATTTATTCGCACATATATATATATATATATATATATATATTTTTTTTCGAAACTCAATAATTATTTCGTTTATCCTCACATTTTTATTGTAATGTAAGTATATGAATAAGATTCGTCTTTCGTATTTCAATTAAGAGTTAAATTATAGATATGAATGATAAAATTGACAAAACATATTTAGCGTTACGTAAGAGAAATTTTGGACTTCGTTTTGACAAAGCATTTTTTACGCAAAGCGTATGAGAAAAGTTACTTCTGCAAATGCCAGGCGACTTGAAACAAAAGAAAATAAAAGTGTGGAAATTTCCTTTACTTTTCAATGATGACAATTGCACAATTTTTTTTTTAACAATTTTCGCCCGATTTACTTCTGCGAAGGACGTGCCAATTTCAGCTTCCTCATTACGAGCAAGTATGAAGTAGTTATCATATTTATCGTTCAAGTGATACCATTTCAAAATCGAATGGCAGTACATCTGATAAATAATGTCGATTGTATAAATTCTTTCTCTATATTTTCTGTATATATTCTGTGTTTGTTTTTCCTTCAAGCGTTTCCAAAATAGATATCAAATAAATTCAAATTGAAAGAAATATTTCTATACGTAATATTTTACACTTGAAACTATGTCTAATCTAACGCTAGCAAGTATTTTTAACACAATCACGTGTATGTGAACGTTAATTTATATGGTCACTGGGCTGAACCTAATGCATGACGTTCAGTCCTACTATGAAACGTTTCATGTATGAAAATTACCTTAAAGTTCAAGGGAAGTATATACAGATAAATAGAATATCAGAAGCAAAGTAAATATTGATCGAGGGGATCGAAACAAGAGGATACAATTTCATGTCACGATCAAAAGTTATGTCAAGTCGACGTAAAAGAATCATAAATTATGGAAAAACTTGGAAACATTTTTTTTATCGGAAAGTCACGCTTATTGGTTTTTTTTTTTTCATTACGTAATAATTTTTAATTATTTATAGTATTTTATAAGTTTCTGTAATTATTAAAGACACGTGCTTAAAAAAGCTAACGAAAGGATAATATGAATTGTATTTTCAATCCCAAGTACTTTATACTAACTTTTGAAATAGGAAACACACAGAAAATAAAAACCTAAATTTACAAAAATTCTGTTAAGAGTTACGAAAGTTTTTGTTTTATCTCGAAATTTCATTTTAACAAACGCTTCGCGAGTGTTATCTATTTTTTAAAAATCTTCATTCATTCGCCAGTAGTCGAACACCACGTGTGTCACGCCGGATCAATAATACAGAATATCGCACGTGTTTCTTATAACTAAGTACTACTCTTCGAAGTTGAGCATAGAAAAGATTTTCTTATGATAGAATTCGTTAATTTCAAGTTCAATTTCAAGTCACAGAACGCTACTGTTTCTCAATTAATGAATTCATCATTTGCGTGTCTATGTACAATATAGTCGTGAGGTATTTCATGTTACGGGATGTAAACTCATTTCTAAAATATATTTAGGAAAGCTAACCAAGCGAGATTCACCATCACAACGTGATTCAAAATGCAACGAAACTGAATTAATGCACAAAATTAATGCATTCTTACTATATGTAGGACGAGGAACAACCAACAGTGGGAGAGATTTGCAAGTTATATTTCGAACGAGGATTTATATTTACTGTGCGAGAGGCATCAAACGAATTTGAGAAAATGAAGACCGTTTGGATAGTTGGTGGACCAGGATGTGGCAAAGGAACACAGTGCGAACGAATCATCGCAAAATATGGATTCTATCACATAAGCAGCGGTGATCTATTGCGGGAGGAAGTTGCCAGCGGCAGTCCCAGAGGAGCTTCTTTACAAGAAGCTATGTCCCAAGGTCTATTTGTCCCAACGGTAAACTATGTTTCACTTCATTTATAATGATATCAGATTACCTTGTAAACTATTAGATTACAATACTTTTGCCAATTGTTTTATTCTGTTGCTTATTTTGTCGTATGAATCATACATTGTGTATGTCATTATATCGTGTGGAATCATTCGGAACAACTAAATCGAAAAGTAAAAATGTACGTATTTATAGGGTAATTTATAATGATAGCAATAAATTTTTTATATTTTTAATGCTCACATCAAATGATATAAATACTAACTATCGTACCAACTAATTCATGAAAATATTTTTTTTATTAATCTATTGTAATCTTTAGATTTTTATGTTTCAATCTTATTCTTATTTCTACTCTTCTTCCTCTTTGCGAAGAGATTTTTAATATTTTTTAGAAATCGTTTAATATAAAATTAATTTATTTAATATGTAATTAGAAGTAATTAGAAGTAATTAAATTTACTTAAAATTTAAACATGTATATATTATATATATGTATATATATATATATATACACATTCATTCATGTATATATACACTCATATATATACATTCATTTATGTATTAATCATTAAATACTATTAATTTTTAACTAACATCTCACGTTGAATTAAAATTTATATAAAATATTTTTATATTTAATTTTGAAGATTAACAGTTTATATAACTTAAAATTTTTTAATTCGATCATTAAAATGAAATTTTAATTAATTTTTAACTATATAAATATAAATACTTTTATGCTCAGATGTGTATTAATAAATAAATTCTGCTTTTTTATCAGGATATTGTATTGGATCTGATAAGGGAACGAATGGAAAAAGCTAAGAAGGAAGAAGCTACAAAAACTGGATTCCTTATTGATGGATATCCCCGTGAATTAGGGCAAGGTCTCCTTTTTGAAAAAAACGCAAGTATCAATGTTACTATTATAAAATGTACAATATAAAAAGAAGAATCAATGGATGAAGTTTGATAATGGAACAAAATTTATGAAGTAAATGGAAGAAAAAATTGGGAGGAGACAAGATATTAAGTGTTTAATGAATTTAGGTGTGTCCAGTTGATTTGATCATTTTCTTTGATGTCTCGAATGAAACATTAGAGAAAAGATTACTAGGACGTGCAGCAGCAGCAGTAACACAAAGAGCTGATGATAATCTCGAAACGATCAAAAGGAGAATTAAAATATTTAACGTAAAAAATGGAGAAATTGTTAATCACTACAAAGACAAAGTTGTAAGAGTGAGTAATTTTACGATTGTAATTATTGGGTTACACGGGAAATTTGTGAATGAAATTTAAGCAATTTAAGAAAAGATAT